AAGCAATTGCACTTGCGGTTTTTAACAAGAAGTCGAAAATATCAGTTTTTACCAAAAATGACAAAAATATTCACCAAAATTAGAGAATTGAAGATATCATCACGAAATTAACAAATCTGAGAGAGGTCCACATGTAGTACCTATATATGTAATATCAAAGCAATTGCACTTGCGGTTTTTAACAAGAAGTCGAAAATATCAGTTTTTACCAAAAATGACAAAAATATTCACCAAAATTAGAGAATTAAAGATATCAACATGAAATGAACAAACCTAAGAGAGGTCTACCCAAGGTACATATACACCAAGTATCAAAGCATTTAGGCTTGTAGTTTTCAAGAAGAAGTCGAAAAAGTAAAACATTGACACGGACGACGGACGACGGACGACGACGGACGACGACGACGGACGACGACGGACAATCACTCATATGATAAGCTCCGCTCGACAAAGTCGACAGCGGAGCTAAAAATTAGTATATAGTGGCCTCCAATCAAAAGAATGATTTAATTAATACAGACTTGTATTGTAAATGTAGACAGAGAAAACAAATGATCCAGCAGCAGTATGTACGTTTTATTATTCAGAGTATATTACATAAAGCCATACATATCGTACTTGTACCTACCTTTAATAATTTACTTTTGGTTTTAGTATCAATGTTGGTTGGCTTGGTAAAGGTGAAATCAGGAGCCGCATTATTGGGATAGTTGGCAGGAAATGAGACGTTCAAAGTGACCATGTTATTGACATGAACACTGGTGACTTTGCAACTTCTATGCATTGCATCCAACTGAAATACAAGCATGTACAACACTGTTCAATAGTAAACAGAGAAATTATACATATGGCTACTGGTCAATAGGAAGCTGAGAAATTATACACATGGCTACTGGTCAATAGTAAGCAGAGAAATTACACACATGACTACTGGTCAATAGGAAGTAGAGAAATTATACACATGGCTACTGGTCAATAGGAAGCAGAAAAATTATACACATGACTACTGG